TGTCTTCACAAAACCCCTATGCTTAAAGCCGCTAAGGGAACACTCCAGGTTTAGGTTTCAGGCTTTTAGGTTGTCGAACCGTATACCTTAGCAGCGAGTGCCAAAGGGCTAGCAGACCGGGTTTACGGTAGATCTGTGGTCTGGACCCAGTATTACTTTTGTTCACAGCCTGAAGGCGGCCTGTCCGCGGTGGTCACACACGGATCACAAGGCCTGGGTGAGTTTTTAGGGTTTAGGGTTTTGGGTTTTGGGTTTTGGGTTTGGGGTTTACGGTTTAGGGTTCAGGGGTTTAGGGTTTAGGCATGGTTGGACCTGGTTCATTATGGGGTTCTTAAGGGAGGGGGGTTCAAGGGGCCTAAAAAACCCAAGGTTCCCTAGTTTTGTTTAACTCCCCTAAGGCTCCGAAGCTTTCCGAAGGTTCCCTAGGTACCTACCCCCCTTGAAGCCCCCTCCCTTAAGAACTTTATAGGGGGGGGGCTTCATCATTCCCCTTACATGATCCTCATGAGGCTCCCGGTGGCTTCACTTGCTGAGCCTGAAGCCCTTTCCCCACAAGACGACGCGAAACCCTGAACCTTGAAACCGGAAGTTCTCACCCCGCCAGTCACCCGGGATAATTGCATGGGTCTCACAACAAATGCGTGCGGCGGCGGCTGCCGCAATGAATCGCATGCAACAACAGCCATGTCGCACGAGGTCCAGAACTGAATTTGAAGGTTCAGAGTTGTGCTGCGCAAACTTTTGATTTCATAGAACATGAAACAGTGGTACTTGGGTGGAACTCTCCAAAGTTGTACCTACCCCCGAACCTTAAAACCCTGAAAACCGCAAGCCCGAAATTCCCTAGGACCCCAAATCGTAAACCCGAACAAGGACAAGCCCTAAACTTTCCAAAAGGTGCTGACTGGGTCGACCGGGATGGCGCGCTGGGCCACGCAGAAGCGCTGGCGCTCGACGTGAAGGACGGTGTTGCGGTGTAGGGTTTGTATAGTGTTAGGTCTAGGGTCTACAGGGTGGGGCCCCCTTACTATACTAACTGTAGTTAAGGGACTTATAACCTAGCTTAGGGTCCTTACAACCCAATTTAGGGCCCTTATAACTCTACTTATAACTAGGGGGCCCCACCCTGTAGGGGTGTAGAGCTTAGGACTTTGCAGTTTGGGGGTGATTGTTTGGGATTGTGGGGGTTTTAGGGGGCTCACGACACGAGCTCGGAGCCGACTTGCCTGATGATCTCTCAATATGCCTTCTTGTCTATATATATATATATATTATATATATATATATATATATATATATATATATATATATATATATATTTTTTTATGTGTATATATATATATACATATTTTTAATATTTCTCATCTCTCATCCTCCTGTTCTTTCTTGATGTCGTTCTTGTTGCGTTTCTTGCTCTGTCCCTCGTCCCCTGGCCAACCCCGCAGCCCTCATCCTCCTAACTGTCACCACGTGTGATGCGCGAACACAAAAGGAAGCTCCAAAAGTGACGACAGTTGTGAAGATGGCGAACTCCTGAGTCCTCATCCTTGTAACTGTCATACTTGCAAAGCCCGAGACGACACTCAAACGCAGGATTCCGAAACTACAGGTCATGAGTGGCACTTGCGAACGCTTGCGGGCGCTTCAGAAACGCTTCGCGGACACGAGCGCGCGATGTCTTGTCGACCTGACAGCGCCAGCTCCACGGCTTCGGCCGGGGGCCGGGGCTCTGACTCCTCGAGGGGCCACGGTCGAGAAGGTCAAAGTCAACATGAATGGCTCTCCTTCGTCTCCGCCGCCGGTCATGTCTGGGTGCGCGACCCGTGCGCGATGATGGGAGCCGCCGGTGGGCGGAATATTTGAGATGTGAGTACCGAAAATGAAGTGACTACCCAGCCTACAAGCTTGAAGCCCTAAGTTCCTGAAGCCCTAAACCCCTCAAAAAACTCCCAAGCCCTAGACCCTTGAAGGGGCTTAGGTCGCCTAAGCCCCAAAACCCCCTAAACCTTGGTTGACGGTGTAGGGTTTGAGGCCCTAAAGCCCCGAAACCCCGGACCTTTCGAGCACTGAGGTCCCAAAACCCCGGAATCCTGCAACTTCAAAACCCCAAACTTCTGAAATCTCTACCTAGTGTAAGCTGATGTAACCTGTGTACCCTTCAGGCAGAAAGAATATATACCCTTAAAGAAACGTATCCCAAAATAGTTCGGGCAGATTTCTCAGGACGCAAAAAATCAAGTTCAAAAGCTCTAAATCCTTAGCACCCCGAAGCACAAAAAAACCCTCAATCCCCTCTAAACCCTCATCCGCCAACCGAAGCCCGAGCTCCATGAACCTTCGAACCCTAAGACCCTAAAACCCTAAAACCCGAAGACCCTAAGACCCTAAGCCCTAAAACCCAAAGACCCTAAGACCCTAAGACCCTAGGCCTTAAAGCCTTAAAGCCTTAAAGCCCTAAAACCCTAAGACCCTAAGACCCTAGAACCCTAAACCTTAAACCCCTAAGACCCTAAAACCCTAAAACCCTAAATCCCTAAGACCCTAGAACCCTAAACCTTGAAGCCCTAAAGCCCTAAAACCCTGAAGCCCTCACACCCTAAGACCCTGAAGCCCTCCGCCCTCGGGGGGGGGGGGGGGGGTTGGAGCAAGGACGCAACAGGTGCCGGCGATGCCTTCTGTGCGGCCTTGTTGGCTTCCTGGGCGCCTTGCGCTCAGCTTCCTGCAGGAGCTTCCTGCAGGGGTGTAGGGGTTTAGGGGTTTAGGGGTTTAGGGGTTTAGGGGTTTAGGGGTTTAGGGGTTTAGGGGTTTAGGGGTTTAGGGGTTTAGGGGTTTAGGGGTTTAGGGGGTTTCAGGGTTAGGGGTTTAGGGGTTTACGGGTTTACGGGTTTGAGGGGTTTGAGGGGTTTGAGGGGTTTGAGGGGTTCAGCGTTGAATGCGTAGGGTTGAGGGTTGAGGGTTTGAGTGGGATTAGGGTTGAGAGTTGAAGGTTTAGGGTTGGGGGTTGGGGGTTAAGGGTTGACTCTGCTGCTACTGTTGTCTCGATGATACGGTGTTTTTCGTTGACGACTGTATGGTTCTTTGATGCCGACTGCCACTGGCTGTCTCACTTTGATCGAATCTGAACTAATCCCTGTGAGACTTCTGCACCATTCGTTAGTTGATCCGGGTTTAGCGTTCAAGGTTCATATCTACATCGTTAAGCCTTTAAGCCTCAGACGAGCATGGCTATCCAAATCAAGGCCTAAATAAAACCCTCAACACAAAATCCTCACCCAATCCTGAAGACCTTCAGATTCCGTCCTAGACCCAAATCAATCCCTAAACATGTTGCACCCTAAACCCTAAACCCTAAACCCTAAACCCTAAACCCTAAACCCTAAACCCTAAACCCTAAACCCTAAACCCTAAACCCTAGAACCCTAAACCCTGAACCCTTAGACCCTTAGGTGTGGTGAGCCTTTGGCCGATGCGGTGGCGAAAGGACCGGGCATGATCTCAGCGCAAAGAGACCCCGAACTGGCTCAGAGTCTGGTAATGTAGGGTTTCGGGTTTAGGGTTTAGGGTTTGGGGTTTAGGGTTTAGGGTTTCGGGTTTAGGGTTTAGGGCTCGCAGTCTAGTAATGTAGGGCTCACGGCTATTCTTCATGGCCCAGTGCTACCCTTTACCGTTTCTTTGGTTCTGGGTTCCCTGATAAAGCAACCAACCCCAAAACGGGTGCCCTTATAAAATCTCCTAAAGCCTTTAAAGTCTAAGAGCCCCTAAAACCCCTTAAAGCCCTTAAAGTCCAAGAACCCCCAAGAGTCTTGGAGCCCCTAAAACCCCCCAAAGCTCCAACAACCCTAAACCCTAAACCCTAAACCCTAAACCCTAAACCCTAAACCCTAAACCCTAAACCCTAAACCCTAAACCCTCGCAGCCCACGAGGATGCGCAGCTGGCGCCCTGAACTGCGGTCGCCTGGGTGGCTGTGAGGTGCCACTCCTAGCCGCAAGGGCCCTGGGCTGGAAACGCTGCCTGTGTTTAGGGTTTAGGTTTTTGGTTCAGGGTTTAGGGTTTAGGGTTTAGGGTTTTTCTTGTTATCGTTGGGGGTCTAGTGTTTACAGGTGGGAGGGGTGCTGTAGGGCTTGTTTTTGGGTTTTGGCTTTTTGGAGTGTAGGAATCAAGGCTTTCGGGCGGCTGCAATGTCTGCTTAAGCTTGCTTGACTGGGACTTGAAGGGGCAGGCGGGGAGTAGAGACCAGTAACAACCCCTGTGGAGTCTCCGGGAAGTCCCCACATCTGAGCAGGCATTCTGCGGCCCAACTAAAAAACCCTAAACCCTAAACCCTAAACCCCAAACCCTAAACCCTAAACCCTAAACCTCCAAACCCCAAACCCCAAACCCCCAACCCTTTCATTAAGCGCCCACAAGGAAGAGATCGAGCAGCTGATAGCCGGCCGCCGGGATGCTTGAAGCAAATGGTGCGCAGGCGTGGGATGGATATGCCTCAGGGGCGTTGTATCAAGGGATAATACCTTGGTAGCCCAGTGGTACCCTTTGTCCTTTTTGTTTGTTTATGGCTGCCCTTATAAAATATCCAACCCAAAAGAGGGTGCCCATATCATAATAGGGTTACTGGGCTGCCATGATACTCCTCTTGTCTCCTGCAGCTAAGACCTTGAGCAGGTTGTACCTGCCCCACCCTCCCCCCCCAAAAAAAAAACAACAAGGTTTCAAGTTTAGGGTTTAGGACTTCGGGTATACATCACCGGCTCTCACTCCTGTAACCCTGCTGAACCTCTTCCCCTTGTTTAAAAAGCTGTCCTAAACCCTAAGCCCTAAACCTGAGCCCTGTAGCCCTAAACCCTAAACCCTAAACCCTAAACCCTAAACCCTAAACCCTTAACCCTAAACCCTAAACCCTAAACCCTAAACCCTAAACCCTAAACCCTAAACCCTAAACCCTAAACCCTAAACCCTAAACCCTAAACCCTTGCCCTATAAGGTACTAATCTCGCTAAGGCTGCGGGATGATGAGCTTTGGCAGGCCATCCAGTTCGCGACCTATCCGAGGCTCGCTCCTCTGGAAGATTATCGGGCTTATAGGGTTTGGGGTTTGGGGTTTAGGGTTTAGGGTTTAGGGTTTAGGGTTTAGGGTTGGAATGAAGGACAACCCTGAAGAAGCTAGCCAGAGTTCAGGGTTCAGTTCTGCTTCATCACATTTTGTAACCCCCCCGGACACCGCCACCCCCGCCTAAATCGATGTGCGTGGCTGCCTGCCTTCTACTTTGTGCCAGTAAAGCACATGGGTAGCTGGAACGGCTCTGCTCGGAACGACGGCTCGCCACACGCCAGCTACGTCCCAGGTTCAGTGTATATAGTTTAGGGTCTAGGGTCTAGGGTCCAGGGTGTATAGGGTTTAGCGTCCTAGATTCAACAGACATACTCTTGACGCCACCATTGCTTCCGCGGACATATTCGCAAAGGGACGCGTCTGTGTTCCATGGCCCGGGGGCTTGGGGGTTTGGGAGGGAGTCTATGCCAACACTTGTCCAAAAATAGTACATACTGAGACCAAAAATTTTCGTTGGAGTGCTATCAGGCTATCAGCTTCTCCCCGTGCCTGAAAGCTCCGTGGGTTCGTTGCCAGGAGAGTCACGAATGTGCAGATTGTGGTATATGCGCCTACGCCTCAGCAGTGGCCGTCTCCAGACAAAGTCAGCCCCACATTCAGCAGTCGTCTCGTGACCTGAAGGGTCCTTTGTTTTCCCATAGACCTACAAATGACTCTATGGGCCTGTGACCTCATCTCCAGAAGTTAAGCCAAATCCTGGCACTGCCCCCTCGCCCGAAAACTCCAAACCCTCGACCTGAAGCCGGAGCCTTGGACACCTAACCCCCCCAAACCCAGGTTAAGGGTTTAGGGTTTAGGGTTTAGGGTTTCGGTTTTGCATAGGGTTTAGGGACAACCTGCAATGCCAAACTTCTTCCGCCAAGGCCTCTTCCCGAAGTCTCCTTCCAAACCCCCTGGCAGTTCTAACAGTTGTAAGCTCCAAAAACACAACCCGGCGCTCATGGTTTAGGGTTTAGGGTTTAGGGTTTAGAGGTACGTAACTCTAGGAACTCCAGGAGTGCACTTGCTGCCCTTTCTTTCGGTGTCGGGTTGCAAATGAAACGGCGTTAATGCGTTCAGACGAAAATGGCTCCAAGGTTGTCGAGAAATTCGGTGGCGGCACCTAATATTGCCAAGGAATGCACCCTAAACCCGAAACCCTAAACCCTAAACCCTAAGCCAAGGAATAAGCCCCACAAGAACTTGGACCTCTTGCAGTTCCACGCGCCGTTCCCGGTCAAGATCCTTCAGCAGGCTGGGCCTGGCTGGCTGTTATTTGGGGTTTAGGGTTTAGTGTTTGGGGTTCAGGCTTAAGGGTTTAGGGTTTAGGTGTTAGGGTTTAGGGTTTAGGGTTTTAGGGTTTAAAGGGTTTAGGGTTTTAGGGGTTTAGGGTTTAGAGTGTGAGGAACGCCGGGAGAGGAGCGGGAAATAGCGCTCATGTTTGGGATTCGTTCCCCCATTTGAGCGCATAAGCCCGTCAGCATGCTCATAATCACAAGCCCTTCAAGCTTTCAACCGTCCAGCACTAAAGAACCCTAAACCCGAAACCCTAACCCTTAAACCCCTAACCCTAAACCCCAAACCCTAAACCCCCAAACCCTTTGAGGGGCTTGAGGTCTTCAGATGCTGTGGCTTAGGCCTCAGGAGTGTAGATTGAAGCTCAAGGCCCGTTCCTACTTTAGGGTTTAGGGGCTATTTAGGGGTTTAGAGTTTAGAGTTTAGGGGTTTAGAGTGTAGGGGTCTAGAGTTTAGGGGGTCAGGGCTAACCTCCTCCCCCTCCATAGCAGACAAAAACTGGAGGAGGGCGAATGGAAGGGGACCCTGGACAAGCTTATCGGCTACTGGTCCTACCTAAAGGCCGGGAGGGGCCTTTTTTGGGTTTAGGGTTTAGGGCTACTGGTCCTACCTAAAGACCGGGAGAGGGGCCTTCAGGAGGTGCAGTGATCTGGGGAATTTAGGGTTTAGCGTTGAATTAGACCCCCGCGGGCCCCTAAGCCCTAAACCCTAAACCCTAAACCCCTAAACCACCTCTAGCAGTCAGTCGAAGACTGACAAGCTCAGAGAGTTGCAGCGCGGCGTTTGGAATGAGGTCCTCTTCGCCTTCAAGTCCCGCAAGAGGGGCGGGGGATTTAGGGTTTAGGGTTTAGGGTTTAGCGTTTAGGGTTTAGGGTTTAGGGTTTAGGGGGGGAGGGGTGCGGGCTGAGGGTTCAGGGTCGTTAGAGTTGAGGGTATAGGGTTTAATGGGGGGCGGTGGTGACACATGGGGGCCTGATCTAGATCATGGCCCTTTTTTTGTCTCTACGACGTTTCCCTAAGCCTTGAACCCAGTCAGTAGCAACCAACCTGCACAGTTCATTATCATGATCAGTGTAGGGTCTGGGGGAGTTTGGGGTCCTGGCTTACAATTGCCCACAGGCACGCTACCTGCTGGGAGCCCCTTGTGTTAGTTCACAGTTGATTATATAGGCTTCGGGCTGAATGTAGGATCCTACGAAAATGAGTTGCCAATATTATTCCGACACAATCCTCAGGGATTCCACAAGCTCCGAAGTATAGGAAGAAAGCCTTAGTTTGAAATAGGATTCGGTTCGTGGGCTTAGCAGGGGTTGATTTGAAAGTAGTTTTTTAGTTTTTCGTACCCCCTAATCCTTATATAATCCTTATAAAGCCATAAAGGTTTCAATTGTTATAGCTGCCCCAAACCCACCTTGGTTAGGGAGTCTGGGGCATGATCTAGGGAACCCCAAATGACCTAATGAGGGGCATAGCGGAGTCTCTGGGGTCAGACGGTGGACGACGATGACTTGATTGTCTTCCTGGATGCCTTCGACGTTTTTCCCAACGGCTTCGATGGCCACGTGAGGAGCTCGGCCCTGGGGTTTAGGGTTTAGGGTTTAGGGTCTGAATGTTCTTGGCGGAGAGGGGGGGGGGGAGAAAGTTATGAGCTACCGTACCCTGAAGTACAAGGAGTTCGACCCCAAGTCTTAAGCCCCAAAAATCCCAAGCAGATCGGGCAGAATCAGTACCAATCGATGGCCCCTACAATCTCCGTATAAGCATACTATCAGACTACCCCAATAAGGCACCCATTCCAGTAAAGAAGTAGGCGGCTGTATTGACCCCTCAAGGACAAAGACGGAGCCTAACCTAAGATGGTCATGGCAAGGTCAGAGGGCTGTAGGTCTTACAACACACAACCCTAAACCCTCAACCCGCAACCCTCAACCCTAAACCCGAAACCCTGAACCTCAGGGTGGGAGTTACGAAGCTTCAGAGCTTAAGCACCCCGCAGGGTTGTGAGACCTTTGCCGAACGATAGCAAACATATTCTTGAGATGTATCTCCTAGACCCTATAAACCAAACCCTAAAACCCCGTTGGCCCTGCAAAAACTATAACCCTAAACCCTAAACCCTAGACCCCTAAAAGCCGTAGTTAGCACAAAGGAACTGCTACGGCGGTTCTTCTCCTTCGGCACACCAGTGGTTGTGGCCGCCGAGGCACAGGGGCGGCAGGGTGTGCTCTTGGGAGTTTGAAGTTTAGGGTTTAGGGTTTAGGGTTTAGGGTTTAGGGTTTAGGGTTTAGGGTCTAGGGTTTAGGGCTTAGGGCTTTTTATGCGTCAAAGCATGGCAGCCAACAAGAACTTCCAACCGACCACTTGCGCAAGACTTGGCGCCCACACGTGCAGGAGAACGTTTTCCCACGCGAGGTGCTGGAGCCGCCTCCTCATCCTCTTGGGGTTACAGGGTGGGGCCCCCTTACTATACTAACTGTAGTTAAGGGACTTATAACCTAACTTAGGGTCCTTATAACCCAATTTAGGGCCCTTATAACTCTACTTATAACTAGGGGGCCCCACCCTGTTGGGGTTGGGCGGAGGAACCCTGAAAGCCCTTGTTTATGGTGCGTTTGAGGGTTTGGAACCTTGGTCTCTACCCTCGAACCCTGAACCCTAAGCCCTAAACTCTCTAACCTAAACCCCTAGTGAACCGTCAAGTGGAGGGGCTCGGAGGAGTTGAGTTTGTGCGCTTCCCTTTCTCGCGTTTTCCAGGGTCTCAGGGTATTGCTTGGGGAAGTGTTGGGAGCCCTGCACACTCTACATACCCCAATTTCCTCGTGCATAGACCCTAAACCCCAACCCTAAACTTGAGACCCGAAACCTCCAATGCCCCAGAAGCCAAAAGCCCCCTCTGAAATCCGGAAGACTCAGGCATATGTCTCCAATCTCCTCCCTAAACCCTATAATCTCTGTGGACCCGTCCCCCCCGCCCCAGACTCCCGGCAAAGATTCGGGTTCGGAGGTTTGGGCTTAGGGTTTTTGGGTGTTTTGGGTTTTGGGTTTTAGGACCAACAAGCTGCCAACTCAAATAATGGACGGTTTTTGGGGCTCTTTTTGTTACATACTGTGGAGGTTCGGAGGGAAACCCTCGACCTGAAACCCTAAACCCTGAACCCTAAACCCTACAAGCCCGAAACCCTGCAGCCCAAGGCAGGCGCACATCGCCGTAGACCAGATGCACGCCACGGGCCTGGGCAACGCGGGAAGCCTGGTGAGTTTAGGGTTTTGGGTTTAGAGTTTGGGGATTTAGGGGTTACCTGTAACAGCCAGACTGGGGAAGGCCAGAAACGTGAAGTACCCTAAACCCTAAACCTTGAACCCTAAACCCTAAACCCTAAACCCTAAACCCTAAACCCTGAACCCTGAACCCTGAACCCTGAACCCTAAACCCTAAACCTCAAACAACCCTAAACCCTAAACCCCAAAATCCCAGGAACCTTAAAGCCTACACCCCAAGGCCTTGGGCTCTTCTTCTAACCGCAGGGCACTTAAGGGGCTTATAAGTTGGTGATAAGTACCGTCATCGTTGGTTCATAAGTACGTAAACCCTAAACCCTAAACCCTAAACCCTAAACCCTAAACCCTAAACCCTAAACCCTAAACCCTAAACCCTAAACCGCACACAATCCTAAACCCTAAGCCTCCAAGTAGGGTGAACTTTGCCACCCAGGCCTCGGCACCCTCGAGGTACCTCAACGCCGGTGGCATCATCGGCATGGGGTGGGCCTTGTCCTTAGGGGAAGGGGGATTTAGGCTCCCCCGAAACCCTAACCCTAAACCCTAAACCCTAAGCCCCAAACCCGAAACCCCATACATCCTGTGAAAGGCTGCACAAAGGTTGGCCCAAGGCCCTGCGACTCGCCCTCCAGCCTTCGCATAGCTAAGGCACTTGCGTCTGCGTTGCGCAGGGTTTAGGGTTTAGGGTTGAGAGTTTAGGGTTTAGGGTTTAGGGTGTAGGGGGCCGGTGAAGCAACTCGAAACCCGCATCTCCTGAGACTGATAGCAGCCCACCGAACCTCGTTTCTGAGCGTAGCAGACGTCTACCTTCAATATGGGGGTGTCCGACATTTCGGAGTATCTTACTGGGGTCCTTATTAGACGGGAATCCTACTATGTGTGGCTATAGTAGGGGTCCCTTGTAACCCGACATATGTTAGTGTATTGCAGCCCATCCTTAACTAGAAAGGGTCGCCATATCTTACCCACAGAGGCTCATGCCGCTTCATCCCTGCATCTTCCTTTTTAGGTATGGTCTCTATAATGAGTATCAGTCAAAACTCACCGCTCTTGTGAGCTAACCAAATACTGAAACTCTGTAAAGTGACGGGAAAAGTAAGTCTGAACCCTCATAGCTTGGGAAGGCATTTTGACATGGTTTAACCCAAAGCGACACCCAAGCCCCAAGCGACGGCAGCTCTTTTCGACCTTTGAGCAACCCCAAAAAGGCCTCGCGCGATCTCGAGCATCTCCCAAGCGTGCATACAGCAACGCGAGCGAGGCCCTCCGAAGAGTCTATGACGACATGCGCGACTTGGCGGAAGAGCTGGCAGGGTTCGCCAAGTGCCTCTCTGTGTTACTGGGCTACCAAGAGAGGCACATGTTCTAGTTTTCGGGGCTTCGAGGTTGGAGGCTGCTCCAGGGAAAACATCATGAGGCCAAATATCCGAAGCCCTACACCCGAAACCCTAAACCCCAAACCCTAAACCTATAAGGTTCCCGATGCTCGTTTGCTCAAAGCCCGAAGCCCCACGGCCGCGGCAGGAGATAACATGGCGGCCAATAATCCGCAGCTCCTCATGGCGTCGTGCCCTTACGGTTTAGGGTTTAGGGTTTAGGGTCTAGGGTTTAGTGTTTAGGAATGAGGGTTTATGTGCCCCTACAGGGCCGGTTTGGGGACTCGGCTGGCGGCTAGAGGGGTTTAAGCAGGGTTTATGGGTTTTCCTAGGGGGCTTAGGGTTTACGCACGTTGCTTGGGCAGAGCTCCAGCAGAGTCAACAAGAAGCCCTTTAGCGCGGTAGCTACACTTCAAGCTCTTGATGGCCTCCACCGTGTGATGCGCACAGACAGATGTGGGTCTAAGTTCGCCTTCGGGCGGGGAGGGGGGGGTACACGTGTAATTATGAGGGATTTGAGGTTCCAAGTGTTCCCTTCTGTAAAGAATCACTGAGAGCACCTGAATGCAGAACACCCCCCCCCCCCCCCGCGTGCGGAGACAACAATGCTACTGATCAACCGTATGGGTCTGAGGCTTAAACTCGCACGTGGCCCCTGCATCCTATTATAAGGATCTTTTAACAGGTTCCCCTAAAACCCAAGGGCCACCTTACCAGGATCTTTTCAAAAGAGTCCCCAAAACCCAAGGGCACAACCTTAATCGCTATGGTCCACATCTTCCGTTGGGGTAACCAAGTAGTCCCTATATTCGGAAACCTCCCAGAGCCTGAGCCCTCTTCCGTGTAGCCCTAAAATCCTTACAGTGCAGCCCTGTGACCCGAGAAAGCTGCAAGAGCTTCGTCACCCTAAACCCTAAACCCTAGACCCTAAACCCTAAACCCTAAACCTTAAACCCTAAACCCTAAACCCTGTGACCTCGTCTAAGGCACGCCGACATCGTCGGGCACTGGTTCCTCCATTCCTACGACCAGCCGGGCTCTTGGCTCACCCAAAAAGGGTCCAGTTCTAGAACGCTTGAGCCCCAGCGAAGTCCCTAAACCTGAAACCCTAAACCCTTAAATCCATGTATATAAATCCCAAGCCCTTGCTTGGTGTAGGGCTCAGGGTTTACCTGTGCCTGTATTGCCCATCGTTTTTTACTTCCAGGGCGTAGTATGGCTTCCCGAATAGCATCTGTTTTTGCAACATCATTTTCACTTTCCGTTGCCAAGGTACGAGCTGTGGCGATACTTCATTCGCCGCTGGCCCAGACTGGGGACACCAGTTTGCCCACGCGCAGAAGTTCCTGGACAACCTCCGATACAACTTCCGAATCAGCACCTCCCCAAACCCTAAACCCTAAACCCTAAGACCCTACCTCAAAACCCTAGTTCCTAAACCCCTCTTCGCTCTGCGAGGCGATCCCTGCCATACAAAAGGCACCCTTCAACTTGCACCACTTGGCTGGCACCCGAAACCCTAAAAGTTGAACCCTAAACCCGACGTCTGGGCCATAGAGGTGGCATGCTGTGGAGTTCGTTAAGTTAGGGTTAGAGTTTATAACTTAGAGTTTAGGGTTTAGGGTTTAGGGTTTAGGGTTTAGGGTGCCTTATCAGAAGAGTGCCATACAAGCAGGGCACAAAAAGGGACACCCTAATTTAGAGAACTATCCAAACTGTCGACTGGGTTTCTAAGGTTTGGGGCTTAAGGCCGCACCCCAAGCTCTGCACCAACACTACAATAACCCAAAACATGCGCTAAATAGACCTCAGCAACCCTTAAATACTTACCCTAAATAACCCTTACATAACCCGCAAAAACCCGAAATAGCCCGAAATACTACAAAATTCATTTAAATGACCCTAAATAACCCTTACATAACCCGAAATAGCCCTAAATCACCCTAAACAACCCCCCAAACCCTGGAGAGCCCCGGATGAGCCTTAAGGCCACGTCCGGGCTGTCGAGGAGGATGGCGCAGAGAAGCTCGTGGCCCGTGGCATAGAACTGCGTGGCTTTCTTGATGGCCCTGTGGCGATAAGGGTTCAGGTTTTTAGGGTTTAGGGTTTAGGGCTTTCGACAACATTTTCTTCAGGGCTTTCCTCCCCTGCCAGAAAGCCCTTTCTCCTGCAGCTCGGGCTTCGCACACAGCAAGGCCTTAAAGGTCCATGATTCCATGATACCATATAGTTTATACTTGCGCCTTGAAGACGGTTCCCATGTAGGGGGCTTCAGGGACACATATTTTGACCACATGGGGTTTCCGAGATTAGGTGGACCTTATTGGGATCCTTATTACAAGGGGGTCCTACTATTTGGGGGTCTACAGGAGGGTCCCCTTATTTTCGTAAACCCCCCAGAAGGGTACACGGACCCCTAGGGTAAGAAAAAGCGGAAAGGCCTTGGACACAGAACAGAAGATCTTCGGCTCGACTGCCCGCGGCTCAGATGTCTGGATCTGGGATTTGGGTGTAGGGTTTAGGGTTTAAACCCGAAAGCCTAAACCCAAAAATAGGCTTGCCGAGTCTTCGATTCAGGGTCCCGTGTTTGGGGGTTAGGGTGTTGGGAGAGTCTAGTTATGATTGAAACTCATCCTTATCAGAACCTCGTAGTCTCTTTGTCAGGATGCGCGCTGCATGTGTGCCTTCTGGCCACTCTTAGTAGCATCCGCTGGTCAGACTGAAGAGATGCCCCCCGCCGCAGCTACACGAGCACTCCAAGTACAGGTACTGTAGCTTACCGTGCTCCGATTCATGATGGCAAACGGCTATTCTGGATCCGTGGCTCGGCTGGTCTGAAACCGTACGGTGTACCGTGCCGTGTTCTGGTTTTGCTTTGCCTGTGAGGCTTGCTGATTTCCAGCCAGGGTATCTGACTCTGAGGTGCCGGAAGAACCTCTCCGAGAAGCATTGGCGGAGGTGTCCAAGAAGTTGGGTCTGTTCGAGAGCGTGCGCCACGTATGTCAAGCTGTCCAGATACCCCTGCCGGGCGTGGTCGTTGTAGGGGAACAGTCCGCGGGAAAGTCGTCGCTGTTGGAGAACATATCCGGAATTCAGTTTCCGCGTGCTCAGAACACATGCACGCGCATGCCGTGTATCTTGACGATGCTGACAGATCCCACCGTCAGCGAGTCGTATGCTCTGGTATCCATGGACTCAAGCTTTGGCGATGTGGCCTGCTGCAGTCTTGTAATAGTTTTGGTGCTTTTGCCAAGAGTGCCGGTAAGGAAAGTCTGAGTGAAGCTGTGTTTTGTTTTTCGAGGGCTTCAGCCACTTGGGGGAACTGCTGCGAGACCGTTTGCTTTGGCCTTGGAGCTCTAGCCATCGTCTCCGACATGCCTACGATGTCCTGGAGCCCAAGCCTAGGACCCTTGAGCCCTAAAGCCCTGAAACTTAACCCCCCCCCCCCCCCCCCAAAAAAAAAACGACCCTGAACAGCCCTCATATACTACAAAGCTCAAGCTGTGGAGACCCCTTCTATCAGGCCCAGCAATGCGCGGTGCCGGACGTGGAGGGGCAGATCAAGCGGCTCACCGAGATGCATGCGACGGGCGAGGCCTTCATCTCCCGCCAGGCCGGCAGGAACCCGGGCTTGGACTTGTTTGGGGGATGAAGTTCATGATCGTTCATGATAGTTCATGATAATCAGTTCATGATAGCTCATGCATACGTTGGGGTAAACTACGGTTGCTGGGGGTTATGATGGGGTTTTTTCGGCGTTCCTTTGGTGGCCTTCTTGGAGGTCTGTGGGGGGTCTAGGGCAGCTTTGTTAAGGCCCTGCGTGCCTCTTGGACCCCCCAAACCCGTGACCCCACCTGCAGAGGCGCTGTACGTCCGAGTGGTGCGGCGGGATGGCCCGCAGCTTTCGTTGATCGACCTGCCTGGCGTCACGCACAATGCCGAGAAGATGTCGAACATTCACGAGGTGGGATGTGGTTGGGTGTATATATGAGAGGGGAGGTGATAAGAAGCGGAACTCTTCTATAGCAGTAGCATCTTCTACTATAGTAGGTAGGCCCTTGGGACATGTAGATTTTAACTTATTGGGTTTAAGAGGATACTATTTAGGAATGTTTTTCAGTGGGTCTTAAGTAAGGGACATCCGAGTCTAGTACTCGGGCGCAAGGTCACTGTGGACTTGGTGAAGGAGTACATCGAGCCGGAGGAGATGGTCATCCTTTGTGTCATCCCCGCCATGTCCGATTTCGGCAATGCAGAGGCGCGGGAGGGTCTTAGAGGGTTGTGGGTTTAGGGTTTATAGGGTACTGCTTGAGTATGTGATGTTTACCGGTTCAGGAATTCTGCCCTAATCGCCGAAACTTAAGGGTCTAAGCGCCAGGCACCCATTCACAAGGCCCTAAGGCCCTGCGGCTCAGGTCGTGAAATTGGCTCGCGAGTACGACCCAGATGGCATCCGCACACTGGGCGTCGTCACCAAATGTGATGATGCGGCGAATGCCGAAGCATCAGACATCGTAGAGAAGGACGGGCCAGTCGTGCACAGAGCTTAGGGAAGTTTGCCCCCTGGCTGTTGTCACTGCAGGTGACGATGGCGAGAGACTCCGACGTTCGCCTTGCCTTCGGTTTCCACTGCGTGGTCAACCGATCGCAAAAGAACATTGATGAAGGCATGAGCCGCGAGGACCTATGGAAAAAGGAGGAGCAGGTCTTCACGAGGAGCGACCGCTTGAGGAGGCTCCCGCTCAGCAACTGGGGTACCCTGCGTCTCATGGAGAAGGTCGCGAAGATCCAGGAGGCAAGGGTGGATGAGTCTTGGAAGCCCTGTGGTACCTTCTTCCCAGTTTTCGGCACCAGGTTCCCTCAAAAAGCACCCAACCCATAAAAAGATTGCCCTTATTTTTCTAATGTGGTTGCTGGGCTACCAAGGAGTGCCTGCCAAAGATCAAGGAAAGCGTCCGGCAGCGGACCGTCCAGCTCCGGAACGAGCTGCGCTCCTTGCTGTTGGTTAGTAGGAAATGAGAAAATGAGGTACCCTATATCATCCCTTAAAGGGTATATATCGGGGGATATAGGGTAGGTGCCCTACATACTCCCTTAAAGGGTATACATATATATATATATATATATAGGGGGGATAAAGGGCACCTCATTCCCGCACTCCCTACGAACCAACAGTAAGGCTCGTTGCCGGCCATGGTCGAGGCTGAGGGCGACCAGTTCAAGCTGTTCAACAGTGCCCTGAGGGCCATCAAGGCCGGCTTAGGGTTTAGGGTTTAGGGTTTAGGGTATAGGGTTTAGGGTGTACTTCAAGAAGCCAAGCTCCAACGCCCCGAGATTTACCTCTCATATCATCTTTGATCTCCCCGAAGACAATTTTCAAACTGCAACGAAGAAATCTTTAAACTCGCAACGAATAAGCCTTCAATCTTCAGGCACCTACTAGTCGGAAGGCCCCCAAGCAAGCACCGGATAGGACGACTTGCAGCGCCGCGTGAGGGCCGAGTTCATGAGCAGCGAGGCGTCTGATCGTGACTTGACCATCGCACCGAAGGTGGCGGCGATGGTCCAAGACTTCAGCCGCCAGACATGTCAGGGCTTTGGGCATTTTTTTTTTTTTTTTGGGGGGGGGGGGGGGGTGTTTGAGGTTGGTGTTTGGGTGTTCTTGTTTTGAGATTGGGTGCTCGCCGGGTTTGGCTTGGGGGGGCTGGGGTTGGGAGAGGTCGGGGGAGGGCCAGCCTTCGCCTGTCTTCGCCGAGGGCGCGACCTGTGTCAGCGCAACCCCGATTGGTTGGGCCCGGACATGATCGAGGAAGTCAAGGACACGGTTGACACCCGGCCTTCAAGTGGCTTTTGAAAAAATTTATGTATATATATATATATATCTAGCATTATACAGTGCACGTGCTGGAAGGGTGGTAGCGGGATAGCCGTCAACACGCAACTGAGGCGACTTTCGTGCAGGGCTATACAGTCGAGAACTTGACGGGACCGCAAGTCTTTATCAACTTGATCCGTCGCATCTTCATCGAAGAGGGCCTCTTGAAAGATTCGGTGAACCAGCTGGTGGCTTCCGTGGCCGAGCATCTGCGGAAGGTCATGCAGCATGTTGTGGGTATCCATGCCAAAGTCCATCCGGTTCTGTCCAATCGCCTGGCCAGCAAGGCAGAGGACTGCATCGATGAGATGACAGCGAAGGCCCGGGAGCTTTGCGAGAGCCTGGCCGCGGCGCAGGCGGTGACCTCGACCACGAACGGCAGCTACATGGTGAAGCTCTCGAAGTTCCGCCGCTCCTGGTTCCAAGAGGCCACCGACGGATTGAAGAACATTGCCGAGGCGTTGCTGGGAACATCGGGCGCGGGCGCGAAGGAGGAGGCTTCGGAGCTGACGCCCGAGTTTGTGGCGCTGGTCAAAGAAGCGCAAGAGGAGCCCGACAAGCTCGCCGTGCTGGAGCTCTGTGCGTCCCTGCATGTTTACACCGGCTTCCTCATCGAGGGCTTTGTGGAGCACGCGGCGAAGCTCGTTAAGTTCAACTTGGTGGAGAATCTAGGGGACATGCTCGAGGAAACATGGCGGGAAGAGCTGGGAGGAAGCACGTTGCACGAGCTCTTCCCCAAGGACGACACCATCGCACGCCAAAGGCAGACCCTGCAGGACAGCATGCGCGCACTTCAGGAGTTCAAGGCCCCGGGAATGGCTTTTGGGGTTGAGGGTTTCGGGTTTAGGTTTAGGGTTTGGGGTTTAGGGTTTAGGGTTTAGGGTGTAGGGTTTAGGGTTTAGGGGTCCAAAGTGGTTTCAAGTGCCGTGGGTTTGAGCATGTCAGAGTCGTTGCTGGGACCCGCCTCCGACTAGGAACAGCTCGCCACGCTCAAGGTTTCGATGCCGGTTACTGCTGTCCACGCTTTGGCCAATAGGAAGACCATGGCGGAGAATCTGCAGGATCGGGAGCGAGCAAGGAAGGAGATTCAGCTCCGGACCTTTACCTGGAACTTCACCGCTGAGTTGGAGGGCATGGCGGCGAAGAAGAAGGGGGCGAAGCTCATGAGCCCGACGTTCTCCAAGATGAAGGTGCCGGACATGAAGCTTGAATTCTACCCATACGGTCATGAAAAGTCTCCTGACGACAAGTCGGCCCTGTACCTGCTCGCGCCGGCCGGCTGGAGCATCACGTACAGGCTGCGCGCCGCAGGGGAGCAGGCGGAAGCGGAAAGGGAGTTTGATGGAAATTCCTGGGGATGGAACTCGAAATTTCCTTTGGTAACATCCTTTTCCGAGCAAGAGGTCAGCGTGGAGCTGCTGAAAGCGGTTCCATCACCGTCGAGCTGACGGAGTGAAGAGCTCGGCGGAGCCTGCGCCCATCTGCGCCCCCCGGAGCTGCCAAGCGCAAAGCGCCTTTCTTTGGCTTCAGGGTCGAGAGTTCCTGCTTGAAGGTTCATGGGGTAGTTATTCAGTAGGGTTATAAGCTCCCAAAGTAAGGTTACATAACCATGCAGTTGTATCTCCAGCAACCCTACGTATTAACCCTGCTGATGACACCCATGAACCTCGAAGTGGCCCTTTGCCAACAGCAAGAGCCCCGTTGCGCTCCGCAGTTTCCCACGGCCAGTTTTGAGGGCATCGTCCTGTGCTCGCCGGGAGACCCCAGAGGCCTCTCCTTTTATTAACAGTTTCCTCGGATGCCTCATCAAAGTATGCTTCCCAGTTTCTAAGGTTCAAAACTCTATAAGCCTTATGAACCCTCTGAAACCTTTATGAAACCATGTAACCCCTGTAAACCCTATAAGCCCTAAGCTCTGAACGTTTTGAGCCCGGCGCCTGCAATGCATTGTAGCAACAGTTGACGTCATCCCGGTGAGGCATCTTGAGGCCATGAGAAGAGGCAGATTTGATTCGTGACATGATACGCTAGGTATCGAAAAGCAACACCCACATGCCACAGACCCTGAAGCCCAAAAGCCCCTAAAGCTTCAGATCCTTCCATGCAACACGTTCCCCTCAACCCAAGCCCTGCAACCCTAAAACCCTCAAGCCTGAAGCTTTAAACAGCCCCCAAAGCCCTAACACACCAACCCCTATAGGACCGTAAATCCCACAAACCCTAAAACCCCTAAATGCCCCTGAAACCCTCCTTCTGCGGGCACACCTCGCCTGCGTCCAGGGATGTCAGGGGCGTAGGAGCTCAGGGCTTAAGGCGCTTAAGGCTCTTCCGGTTTCAGGGTGTTAAGGTTCAAGGCTTAAGGCATGCGGAGAATCCTTGGGGACTTGGCCAACCTAGTGCCCTCAACTGCTCAAGAGATGAGTTGAGGGTTTAGAGTCCTAGGGTGTTACATGCTCTCCAAACAAGGTTATGACTACTAGTAAGCTTTATTAAAGGGACCTGGCAATCCCAGTTCTACCTACCCCATGAACCTGCAAGTAAGGAATCGTTGGAGAAGGGGGTGGGGGAGGGGGCCTGTTTCTATCCGGACTTCCGTCACAACAAGGCGTAAGGGGACCCTGTTTTTGAATACCCGCCCTAAAGTCCCAAGCCCCTAAGCCCTAGACCTGAATTATCCAAACCCCAAACTCTCTCCCCCCCTCCCCCGCCCCCCCAAGTCCTCCCCACTTAGCGCCCCTTAAAGTAGGGTTTTGACTTCGGTTGAATGCTTAGGGCTGCCTCTCGCCAGCTGAGGTCTTCCAAAAGGCGAACTGGTGCGCATCTGAGCTTCCTGCAGACGCACTCTCTCTGAATGCGAAGTGGGTTTTCTCGGTTTAGGGTTTTTAGGGTTTTTGCCTATTCCAGGGAGGGGGAGACACCTAACTTTTAGAGTTTTAGGGTTTCAGGTTTGCAGGGTTGTAGGGTTTTTGGGGCTTAGGGTTTTAGGGTTTGAGTTTATGTTTTGGGGTTCTCTGAAGATTGATTGGTTTCCTTGGTTTACAGTTTAGGGTCTTTGTTTCATTTGTGTTCTTGGTTGGGGGGCTTCAGGGTGTTTAAGATATTGCTGTTGACTTAGGGTTGTGAGTTTTGTCCAGAGTTCAAATTGCAAAGCGCAAGGTTCCACTTGTACTAGCATTTCTCAGGGTTTAGCGTTCAAGTCTGAGGGTGCGAAATCCATAATGTGTTTTTGAGTAGCTCCTTCCATACACCCTAATGAGCTACTTCCAGGATGCCCTAAGTAGCAAAGTCGAAAAAAGCCTACAGGGGTGGGGCCCCCTAGTTATAAGTAGAGTTATAAGGGCCCTAAATTGGGTTATAAGGACCCTAAAATAGGTTATAAGTCCCTTAACTACAGTTAGTATAGTAAGGGGGCCCCACCCTGTAGAAGCCCCCAAACGCCAGACCCGCAAAAATCTGCCACGGTCGAGCAGGCCGGTTCTGCTGGAGTCGGTGGAGCCAGGCATCGCTTTCAAGAACGGAACGCTCCACAGCTGCAATTGAAAGAGGGTCTCGGCTTCAGGGCTTCTAGGGTTTTAGGGACACTTGTACCTTTCAAAAGAGGGGAATGTTCCCCAGAGCTTTGGTGCAGTTGCCTTGCATTTAGTTCACTCTGGGTCGGATCTGGGGGTTTATGGTCTACTGCAAGCCCTAAGCCTAAACCTGTAGGAGAGAAAATGAATAGACCTCAAGCAGCCCCGGAAGCTTTGTAACCCCGCGGCCCTGAACGTGAAGCTCCCTAGTGTGCCCTTCAGTGAGACCTTCAGATGTGTAGACAGCTGTTTCTTCGGATCATTTTTGAAAGCAGGTTTGGGGTTCAGGGCTTGGAGGTTTAGGGTAGAACCCTCGCTGAAGAACAGGGGTCCCGATCCAGTTGGCATTGGCCGAACACTGCAACAGATGGACAGAATCCGAAGTCGAGTCATGCTGCGGGGTCTGAACCCCGAACCCTAATTGAACCCCTAAACCGCAATTTGGTGGGACAACGGTTGTCTTGAGTCTCGAGTTGCAATAATAAGCTGAGTGAAACCTAAACCTTAGACCCTAAACACAGAACTGACATCGACTAAATTGCAAGGAGCCCTACATACTGCACCCTAAATGCTCCCTCCAATGCGCCCTAGCAATCCGTCGAGCTGCCGAAAGTCCAGGAAGAGTCACTCCATAGACGTGGACGTCGCAGCCTCACTGAGGGGCCTGTAGACAGCCATCCTGATGCCAAGGTTGCGGTTCATGTGGTAGATGGGCGAAAGGCTTACAGGCTTTATAGGTTTGCATTACAAGATTTCAGAGGGTTTATAGCGTTAGATGATTGCTGAATATCTGAAAGGCTAAGGTGTTTGCGGTTGATAAGGAGCTTGCATATATAAAACGTTTCAGGTTCATAAGCTTCAGGTATATGGCTCGTAAAGTTTACAAGGTTTCGGGTATGGGGTTTGCAATGCGCATACGGCTTGTTTAAGGTTTATGAGGTTTAAGGTTTACACTATCCCTTTTAGGTTTACAGGGCTCAGGATTTTTAAGGGTTCGGATGGAGGGTTCGGGGTGTTGGGCTGCTATGGTTTAAGAGATGGGGACTTTGAGGTTTGGAGCTCAGGGTTATCCTCGGTAAGCCTCTGAAGACATCCACAGCCTCAGGATGCACAGGAATTTTACACTTTTGAGTCAATCGAACGTTGATCCCTAAAACCGCGGCACTCCCGAGACTCTACTGCTTGGGCGTTTGCTGCCTGAACCTCGGCAACCCTCAGAACCTTAAATTCACCCCAACAACCCAAGTGAAGAGAGCCCATCAAGCTTAAAACTGCATCCCAAAAAAAAGGTCCCCTTGGTCTTCGATGCGCCGATGTCCGTCTTTGAGACCCTGGGATGTGTTTTGGCAGCAGCTCACAAAGTTCGAGTCTTGGGAGTTTAGGGTTTAGGGGTTTAGGGGTTTAGGGGAGGTAGGGTTTCAGGAGTGGAGGGGCCCTGGATGAAGGCAGCGATTGTTAAGTGGTGTCGTTAGGCTTTAGGGCTCCCCAAGGCTCAGCGGACCATGGCGCCTTCTTGTGCGTTCAGTCTGAGAGTAGACAGACTAAAACCCGAACTGTTGAGCTGAAGCACCCAAAAAAGCATGCCAAAAGAATAAATACATAGGAAATACATACATAGGAAAGAGACCAAGAGAAATCTCTTAACTCCTGCGCCCAAGCGCCAAACAGCCTAAACCCTCCACCTGGAGACATTGTTTTCTTCCCTAGGGCTCCAAAGCCTGGTAGTCCACACTTCAAGACATGATCTCTACATCGCGCAGCTGCAGCTGCACTCCCTACAAACCCTGAGCCCCAAAGCCTTGCCGCCCGAAGCTCCCCAAACTTCAGCACCCTAAACCCTAAACCCTAAACCCTAAACCCAAAACCCAAAACTCCCTACAGCACTTTCCGCCCTAGAACTTACAGGTTCAGCCCGCGAGTCTCCCACTGAAAGCCTTCACTCCTCAGGTTTAGCTTCCAATTTTGTTGGGGCGTTTCGGGTGTTTTCAGGGTTTTGGGGTTGTTTTAGGGTTCAGGGATTTTAGTGTTTGGGCTTTACGGTTGCGGTTGGGGGTTGGGTTTTCGGGTTGCGGGTTCAGGGTCCAGGGTTTAGGGTTTGTAGTGTTAGGGTTTAGGGTTTAGGGCTTAATTAGGGCTTAGGGCTTAGGGCTTAGGGTTTAGGGTTTAGGGTTTAGGGTTTAGGGTTTAGGGTTTAGGGTTTAGGGTTTAGGGTTTAGGGTTTAGGGTTTAGGGCTAGGAGAGACATGAAAGCTCTCGGGCACACTCAGGTCGAGCGCGCTTTCTCGGGCGAAGGCGGCGGGCTCGGGATGCCGGGGTTTAGGGTTTAGGGTTTAGGGTTTAGGGTTTAGGGTTCTTGGACCGAGGTTCTGAGAGAGAGAGAGAGAGTGAGTGAGACGACTTTGCGAATATTCGCACCTTTTTCCAGTACCCCCGCTGTCTCTGTCGCTGTCTGTCTCTGTCCCTCTCCTTCTCTCCCGGATACACGGAGTTTTCGCCCAGGGTGGAAGGATGAAGTAAAATTTTCCATAGGTTTGCGTAGAGGATTTTATCCTGCTATGGAATATGAGGGCTACGCCGAAGCGCATGGAGATTGCAGGCAGATCCTAAGCCGCCTACGCCTATGCCGACACCTACGCCCTAAGCCTCAGAACCACCTACGCCCAAAACTCTTCTAAGAGTCATATGAGAATGAGGGAATCAAGTACTCTATATCCCCCTAAACAGACCCTTTAAAGGGATTCCCTACCAACCAACAGCAAGTTCTTACCAAGCCTCAGGTACTTCCCCATCTTCTGGCATGGCCTCAGGCTCAGTGTCGAAAGCGCGTATTGTAGCAATGGCCTCACCAGGAGGGCCTTTGACCTTTGGCTTAGATTCTT